TAGATATTATACCCAAATCTTTTATCCGTTTTATATTAATTTTGTGTATGGCATTAAATATGGATTTTTTTTACATGTGTATGCCCAGATTTGTCAGCACTATCTGTTGAAGGGGATTTTTCCTTCTCCATTGAATGGTCTTAGTTATTTTGGCATAAATTTCTTGTTCATATGTGTGTGGGCTCTCAATTCTATTCCATTTGTGTGTAGGGTAGGTCTGTTTTTGTTCCATTATCAAACTGTTTTGGTTACTTTTGTTTTCCATTCTTTCTTCTTATTTTGCAGGATTGCTTTAGTTTTTGGTGGTTCCATACAAATTTTATAATTATTTCTTCTATTTCCTTGAAAAATGCTACTGAGATTTTTTTTAAGATTTATTTGTACATACAGAACTGGGGTACAGGCCAGAGGCTCAGGGGTGGCGAGAGGCTTCACCAGAGACAGAGTGGGGAGCAGAACAGGCAGGTGGACGAAGTACACTGCTGAGGGGAGCAGTGGGCGGGTCAGGAGAGGTCTGCTGCACCATGTGGGTCACCTCCAGGGCTGGGGATTGAAAATCATGCTGAAGTGACTTTAGCTTCTCAGTGCAGTGCTTTAACCCACTGCACCACCAGGGAGGGCCACTATTGAGATTTTGATAGGGATTATACTGTATCTGTAATTTGTTTTTGGAAATGATGGCCATTTTAACATGTCTGTTCTTCCAATGTATGATTTTGGGATAGCTTCCCATTTATTTGTGTCTTCTCTTTTAACAATATTTTGTAGTCTTTAATTTTCCATTATAGGTCTTTCACTACTTTTGTTAAGCTTATTCCCAAATATTTTATCCTTAATGAAGTATTTATAAATAATCTTTTTTCTTAATTTCTTTTTCCTCTAAGTTTCTTCATATAGAAGAGCAAGAATTTTGCTTGGTTTTGTTTCCTGTAACTTTATTGTACTCATTAATTATTATTTCTGGGAGTTTTGGGTACAGTCTTTAGGATGTTCTGTGTATATTAGTGATGTCATCCAGAAATAGTGATAATTTCACTTCTTTTCCAACTTTAGTAATGTTTATATATTTTTCTTAACTAATTGCTCTGGGTAGGACTTCTAAAACTATGTTGAATAATAGTGGTTAAAATGGACATTCTCAGGACCAGATGATTTCACCAGTAAATTCTACCGTGCTTTCAAAGAAATATATGTTCTTCTCAAACTCTTCCAAAAATTAAATAAGGAGAATGCTCCCAAAGGTATTTCACATCACTGACATAATTCTGATCCTAAAACCAATGGCACCATAAAAAAAAGAAAACTATAGACTGATATCCATGAACAGGGTAGATGAAAAATTCTATCCAAAATCTTGGCAATCTGAATGAAACAATACATTAAGAGATTCATACATCATAAAGTAAGATTCACCCCAGGGATACAATGATTGTTTAGCGCACAAAAATAAATTAATGAAATACACTGTGTCAGTAAAAGGGATAACTAAAATTACATGATCATAGCAATAGGCACTGAAAAGCATTTGAAAAGATTCAACATCCACTTATTATTTAAAAAAAAAAAACTCTTGGGAAAGAAAGAACATACATCAACAAATGAAAGAACATATATGGTAGATCCATAACTAACAACATACCTAGTGTTGAAAAACTGAAAACTTATCCCCTGACATAAACCTATTTTAGAGTAGTTTTGACAAATGTGTTTTTTCATGTAAGCACAGCATAATGACGATACAGTATGAATCCATAATCCCTTAAAATTTACTCTGTACTCTTGTAGTAAAGTCCTTCCTCCACTGCAGTCCTTAGCAAATACTGATTTGTATTCTGTCTCTAGTTTTTTCAAAAGAAGAAAAATTGGAATCATTGAAGATCTAAGGAGGCCAAACAACTTAACATAAATAAATAACTAATAAAATATATGGGCATAGGAGCTAAAAAGAAACTTCTCTAGAGAAGACATACAGATGATCAACAGACACATGAAAAAATACTCATCATCATAGAAATCTAAATCATAGCCACAATGAAATACTACTTCACACATGAGAATCGCCCATATCATAAAGACCAGAAACAATAGATGTAGACAAGGGAGAAAAAGGAACTCTCTTATACTGTTGGTGGGAATGTAGATAGACTCGTTCATCCCTTAGGAAAAACAGTATGGAGGCTTCTCAGAATATTAAAAATAGATCCTGTATTTCCATACAGGATACCTAGCTATCTACCTTGAAAATACAAAGACACCAAACCATACGTATATATGTGTTCCTATGTTCATTGCAGCACTATTTATAGTAGCTAAGTTATACAAATTGTATTACAGTTATGTAGATAAAGAAGTTATGGTATATGTACATCGTGGAATACTATACAGCTATAAAATATGAAATCTTGTTATTTGAAACAATATGATAGAACTAGAGGGATTATATTAATCAAAGTAAGTTTAAAAATAAGAGAAAGATAAATACCAGATGATTTCACTCATGTAGAATATAAACAAAACAAGTGAACAGACAAAACCAAACCAAAGAAATACTAGAAATCTGACTGGAGAGTTGAGGCTACCAGAAGGCTATGTACATATGTAGAGTAAAGCTAGGAAGGGGCCCAGTGGTCTGTGGTGGAGTATAGGTACTTTGTTGTGGGTGTGGTGTGGAAACATACACTATTCTCCTAAATCATGGACAGTATTCTAAACTTAAGTTACCTCAATAAAAATTGATAAAATTTTCTGTCTTCAATTTCACTGATTTTTGTTTTCTTGTTATTCCTTCCTTCTGTTTGCTCTTTGGTTTATTTTGCCACCTTTTTATGGTGTTAATTTCCTTTCAAATATAGGTTGCTAGTGATATAAATTTCTTATGAAATACTTGATTGGATACTACTATTTCTGATACTCTGTGTTTTCATTTTTATCTATTACAAAGTACTTTCTTACTTCTCTTCAGCCCATGGAATGTTCATAAGTTAACAGTATATTAAAAGTTAATATGTGTGATACTTCTTTCCTTCGTATTCTTTAATGTTTTCAATTTGTTCTTTTTCTGTGTTTGTGTATATTTTCTAGTTTTTTATTGAGTATTTAGGAAAAAAAGGAAAGTAATATGAATTTTGTAGCACTTTTTAATTTACAAAGAGATTAATATTTCAATGTCTGCTTGAGAAAAAATATAATGCATATTTCAGAGAAGTTGGAAACAGAAGTTGACAGAGTTGAAATGACTTGCTCAATGTTATACAAGTGGAGTTAGTTATGATTCAAACCCAGGTTTCAGAACCCTTCGTTCATTATTTTGAAGAAATTGGAAATAAGGATTTGAAACATAAATTGGAATTTACCTTATGGATAGATGAATAGAATGCTAGTGGTACTTTGAAGCAGTTACTGACTGACAGGGGCATTTATTGAAGTGTGTAAGTAGAAAAGTAGAATAAAATTCCTGGGTTAAAAGATGTGTGTTTTAGCAGTATGATAGTTACTCACTTATCTGTAAACTTTTGATCCCATATTTAATGTATGATAAATACCTTTCTCTCCATACTGATAATGCATATACAGATTTTTAGAACTTGGAAAATCTGATGACGGGAGACAATTTTGTATAAAAATTCTCTAATTATAAGTGAGATTTGTTTTTTCTCACAAATTTAAGAGCCTTTTGATATTTCTTTCCAATAGACATTAATTTCTTCTCTTTACATTTCTATTGTCCTTTTACTTATTTTTCTTAAAAAAATTAAGTTATTTTCTAGAAAAATCTTATTTTTATTTTTAATTCATTATCTATATCTATATATCTATCTGTCTGTCTATCTATCTGTCTATCTATCTATCTATCTTCACATCTTTCTTCATTTTGTGCATGGATGGAGTGGGAAGGGATCATGCTTATTGAAATAAGCCAGATAGTAAAAGAAAAATACCAGATGGTTTCATTCATAGCAGGAGTTTAAGGGATCAAGGAAAAAAAAAGAGAAAACATAACATAATTGTAATAAAACATAACATAACAATTTTCTAGCTAAATTTTAAATTTACAAAAATATAAGAAGATGGGATTAGATGATAAACTCAAATGGTTTGGAATTTATTTATCAGTCATTGGTCAAGTGCTTACATTTATTGTCCAAAGTCTGCTAGGCTATGTGATAGAGAATATAGATTAATGTTGCGTACTTTTGAGGCTGTTTCACTGCATAGGTAAATAAGATATGTATAATAAGGCAAGAAGCATGGTATGTGCTCAACTGTGTTGTAAGATAAACTATCAAAATTTTCTATTCCACCGAATGGGGAGGACACTTTACTTTTGAGTTGATTGGGAGTTGGGTAAGCAAGAAAAGTTGAATGAGATTGAGGACTATGTATGGTTTTGTTTACCGCTTTATCTTCAGCATTTGGCATGTTGTTTGACAAAGAGTAAAATGTTTAATTATTTGTTTAACAATTGAATGATGTTAGAACTTATCAACAAAGCCATTTACAGAGCCCTAACACTGTGCTTAGTCATTCATTCCTGTGCCACCAGGAAGCTCTGGGGATGTTTAGATAGATCGACATCTCAGACCTTCGTTTGCATTTCCAAAACAGGGAACACAACCTTGTCCAAAAGGACACATGACATGCTCCCTTATCTTTTTTATCGTATATCTTCTTAACAATATAACAAAGGAATAGTTAAGATTATGACTTCACTATCACACAACCTGGATTTGAGTCCCATATCTGCTGCTTTCTGGCTATATGTCCATGATTACTCTTACTTAAAAAATGAGAATAATTGTAGTATTTATTTTACTGGGTCATAATAGCATTAAATGAGCAAAACATGTAAAGAATTGAGCCCAGAGTAGGGTTTCCATGACTGTTCTCTTTGCCTCTTCTGTTGGTGTACATAGAGAGGGATATAACCTGTGAATGCTTTTAGATGTTGTGGCTTGATCAATGTTTTCTAACAGGCATCTCTTCCATCTCCTCTGTCACAGATTCAGAGACATACTGTGTGTTTCAAGACAAGAAGTACAGAGTGGGCGAGAGATGGCACCCTTACCTGGAACCTTATGGGTTGGTTTACTGCGTGAACTGCATCTGCTCAGAGGTACAGACATTCAAACATGTGATTTCCCAGTTTGTTCCTCACCATACAGAGATATTTTTGGTATCTAGGTATCCAGGGAACATGAGTGAAAAATGTCTAAAAGAAGTTAAGAATCTTAAGGAAAACACAGGTTGTTTTCCTATATCATCTTTTGGCTTGGTTTTCATGGGATCTCTTGAGTGTTTCCTATGGAGTGATATTTATGGTTTCTTAGCCAGAGGATATAGACCCTGTGGGAGAATAACTTGATAACAGAAGTAGGGAGAAAAGTTCAATATAATGCCTAAGTTAAAAGACAAAATAGTTTTTTTTTTTTTTTAATTCATTTTCAAGTCTGGCATTTAGGAGAGAGATTAGGATAGACTGTAAGCTGCTTCACTACGAGAGGGTATTTTAAGTTGTTTCAGTTAATATCTGTAATTAGGATTGACATTATGAAACTCCGACAAAATACATGGTGGATGAGATTTCCCTTGGCTTGGCCTGAGTTTCTGTCCAGTCATTAAAAACATTGTGTGGGCGGATTAAATGCCATCTTTGTCACAGATAAAACAGGGAATCCCACCTTCCTTTCCATGGTCATGACTCAGGTCCATAGCTGTAGTTTATCTTTCTGAACAAGCCTCTGCTACTATAACCTGTGCCAGGGTGTCTTAACCTCTGTGCTCCTGACAATTGAGACCAGATAATTCCTAGTTGTAGAGACTGTCCTTTGCATTGTATGATATTGAGTAGTTTATCTTTGGCCTCTACCCACTAGATGCCAGTAGCTCAAATCTTAGCTGTTAGGCTCAGAAATGTTCCCAGGCATGACCAAAGTTGGTTGGGTTGCAAAATTGCCTCTGGTGGAGAGCCATTGTATTAAATAATTGGGAAAGGAGAACAAATACTAAGCCTTCAAATTTGATAATTCTAACATACCTACTTTTCAAGATCAGCTCTCACTTAAAACCTCATGGAAGAACTGCAGTTCCTATCTGGTACCCAGGGAGAACAGGTGCAGTAACTTGGCAAGCCCGATTCATTTGCTGCTTGAACATAAAACTTTGATTTTCAGAATTTTGAGCTTTTGGAAGCCTAACCTTTAAGCTTCTGGGCTCTACAATCAATATACACCAAGTTTCCAATGCTGAAATCTAGGACGCCTGTTACCTTGGACAATTAACGAATATCCCAAAAATCCCTTTATCTTCTTCTTTTAAATGAAATAATGATATTAACTTATTTCATATAGTTTCAGTATGAATTAAACCTACTAATCCAGTCTAGTCACATAAAGCAATGTTGGATAAATGGTCAACATTCATGAAATGTTAACTGCTACTGTTTTTGCCATCATCATTAAACCATTATTGTTACTACTATTTTTATTATTCTATTTACTCAAGGAAAGAATGCAGGATAAAGTATAAAGGAACAATCAGGCTGGACCTCAGTCTGATGGGCTTTGGTGTTGTCACTTCAAGGTGATGCCACCTGGTGCTAAGGAGTTTGACACATGGAGACTCTATTTCCAAAGGCCACAATGCAAAGTTTACTTCAGATAATGTATGAGAAGAGCTATCGGCTGGTGGCAAGATAATTCATATTTGGATAAAAGAAGCCTGCCTCTTTAAATGGCTAGTGTAGGCATTAAATCATTGGGGGATTGATTAGCATGATTTTGCAGATTCTGGACTCAACACATTGGACATTTCACTCTTGGGGACTGAGACTTTGTTGTCTCCAGGACAGTAAAAATGTTAATATGCCAAATAGCACAAGTGCTGGGCATGCTCTCTGACTTCATCCTGTTCTTCATTTTCTTCCCCCAAAGGAACCTGTTAGGTATAAGTAACCATTGCTTCAAATGAATTAAGGGTGACAACCCTTAATGCAAAATTGACTTCCACAGTTTTCCTTTGTTCTAGCAATGGTTGAGAAAGTCAGAAGTAGGGATCTTGTAGTTGTAAATCAGAGACCCAGTTGTCCCACACAGGGAAACCAGTTAATTAACTTGATTCTAAACTCTAACTTGGCTTCAGAAAAAATTTGACTGAAAAAAGAAATGCGGAGAGGAATCCACCTACTATACCCAGGAGGCCTGAGCTAGGCAAAAATGGATATCAATTCAGGGAACCCCTTGCTCATCTCTTCCCTTCATGGCATTCTTTAGGCGATGATGAAGTCAGACGAGGCTCTTGGTAAAGACATTCAGTTCAGGCTGGGGAGTGGTAGAGATGCCATAGACCCAGACCAGATAAGCCTCTACAATTAGTTGATATTTGGAGCAGTAGTGATCCCAGTTTTCGAGAAATATGCCAGCACACTACCAGCCAAGACAGCAGAGGTGCTCGTGATGAGGAAAGGAGAGAAAGCGTTGATTTCCTTCAGCTTGTCAGGGAAGTGTTATTCACTGGAAGAATCCCTGCATGACTATCTCCCAAACTGGCAAGATCCCAGTGACCTTTGAAAGATACTCACGTTTTTTTCTTGTCACCTTCTCTTTCAGAACGGGAATGTGCTTTGTAGCCGAGTCAGATGTCCGAGCCTTCACTGCCTCTCTCCTGTGCATATTCCTCATCTGTGCTGCCCTCGATGCCCAGGTAAACCACATACATCTTTCTTTCCAAGCCATGGGTCTTCCTTCTTTCCTCCTCCATCCAACTGCCTCCATCTCCCTAATTCCCCAGGAGGGAAACTTCCAGACAGAAACAACAATCGGATACTTTTAGGCAGCCCACACTGGCCCCTAAAGACTGTTTATAGCCCAAGCAGGGCACATTCTAGGTTCTAATAAGCGATTGAGTACCAGTAACAGATTTTCATTGGGCTTTTAAGCATTTGAAGGTGATGTCAATTGGGGGAAGGGAATTGTGGTCCAGAGATTTTCTGCCATAAACAACCTCTTCCCTCCATGGGCAGTGGGCACCAGGGGACTTGGTGGCACGTGCCCTATGCAATTAGTATGGGAACTGTGTCTGAACCCAGCTTCTAAAAGATGAGGGGCTGTTCATAAATCAAAGGAGTTGAAACAGGGAGGTTTATGACAGTGTAAAGCTGTCTGCCTCTTCCAGACTGCACACTTACTATGCACACATTGTTGAGGGCAACTCTAAGGGGGAGGCAGGCAGAGACTTTTTCACAAGGCTGTTAGGACTCTGCTTTCACAGTTTGCGGCTAGCATATTTGTCTGAGGCAGGGGCTCCCTCAATGACACTTTGTTCACATCTGACTGGGGCTGGCTCCCATAGCAGAGGTGTGAGAGCATGGAGTAATTCAGAATGCCCATGGGCCTGACAGCAGTCCTAGAAAAAGTGAAATGGCAGTGCTGGTCACTTCACTTGCAGTCTTGTAGGTTGACTCTGTTTCCCACTGGGACAGAGCTCTTGAATCAGAGTCTGTGGGTGGCGGAATGGGATCAATGAACCCTTTACATTTGTTCAAAGTCTTTGATGTAACAATGTATATGTGTAAATTCTTTAGAGAGGATCTATGTATTTAATATATAGAGATGCCACCAAGTCCCCTGGTATTTCTGAAGGGGTGTACATAGCTCCCAGATTGTGAAAAATCACTAGTTTAGGGCAAAGATGGTGTGTGTGTGTGTGTGTGTGTGTGTGTGTGTGTGTGTGTGTGTGTAAAAGTAATGAGAAGTCCCCAGAAGTTAAAAACACCAAAAATGTTTGAGAACAATGCTAGGCATGAGGTTCATTGAGAACTCAGTTAATTGATACGTTACAGTAATGGAGATTTTGTTTTATGGAGAAGAAATTCCCATCCTGTTTTGTCACTACTTTCTATCAATAAAATACTAGAGATTCTCTCCCAGATAGCAAATGATCATGCCACATTTTAGATTTATCATTGTGATAACATCACTGCAGCTGCTAGTATATGCTTTAAGATGTGGAAGACTGACTTGGCATACGATCAACCTTAAAAGTTCTCTTTGATTTTTTTTTAATCATTGCTCCTTTATTACTGTCTCACGCAACTTCTAAGATACAAACAATGCATGGCAATTGGGTAAATGAATAAAATTGATTTTGCTATAAGTATGTAAAAACTCATATAGACTGTATGTTGATATATATTGACAAAGTTATTGTGCAAACCTGAATTGTGTAACATATTAGCCTTATTTGGAGGCTGAACTCCTAAATGCGACTTACTACTCATGGATGTGTTAATTTCCTGCTTCTATTTAAACTGTGTTATGAGGGTATGGTATGGAAGGGGTTCTGCTGGATGGAAGCAAAGTTTCTAATAAAGGAGAACTTTAAAAAAAATTAAATTTGACTGTCAGATCACATAGCTAAATGTTCCCCTCCCAGAAGGTTCCAACAGCGGTATAATGCCATAGGAATTTACCTAAACTATGTAGAGATTGCTCTTCCTTGGAAAGACAGTTGAGACATAATCCAGAGCAATACAGTGGCTAGAGGAGCATGGAGTAGAGTTTGGCTGTCTCTCACCTCAGCTGCATAGCAGGAAGCAGTATTGGGAGAAAGGGAAAGGGGAAGCTAGCACTTATTTTGAGAGAAAAGGAGAGTTAAAAGATTTGAGGTCATAAATTCCAGAAAGTAGAAAATTGAAAGAAATGACACATTGTCTTTAAGACTTAAGCCATTTTAAGGCATAGAAAAAACAGCTATTCATTTTACTTCCCTTCTTGTTCTTGCAGGTCACTTCCTTGTGAGTTTACTTAAAAAAATTATCACATAACCTTTAACAATATTCTTCTGTGGGTAGTGGTACTGAAGTTCCCCATTCCTATGCTAACATGTCTTTGTGTTGACCTCATTCTTAAATGATAATTTTGTTGGGTATAAAATTATAAGTGTATGTTTATTTTCCCTCAGCCCTTTGAATCAATGCCTTACTGACTTTGTGGATAAGAAGTGTGCTGTTTGATTATAGTACTTTTGTAAGTAATCTGTTTTCTCCTTCTAGCTTTAAAGATTTTCTCTTTTACTTTAATGCATACAATGAGATATGTAGGCATTTGATTTATTTTTTTATTTAGCCTGCTCAGTACATAATGTTTGGGGACTCAAATTTCTCTTCAATGTTTAGTCATTATTCTTGTCTTTCTTTATTCCCTTTCTACCTTTATTCTAATTTTCAAAGGTGTCTTCATTGTATGTTTTTACAGCTCATTTTTTCCTGTGTTTCTTTTAGTGATTTCTTTTTTTCCATTTTGGTTAACTTTCCATAATGAAATATTATTTCACTTCTGTCCACCAATTCAGGAATTTTCTTCTCTAGTTTCTTCATACCTAATATTTTGGCCATCCATTGGGTTTTGTCATTTTATTTTCAAGAACTATATTTTTACCTAGCTTGTTGGTGTTTAAATTATGTTTTAAAATATCTACATGTTGCTGCTTTAAAACTGCTGTAGTGTTGCTTAGTTTCTTCCTTTCTATAAGGCATTCAAATATCATTATAAGTTCATTTCAGGTTGTTCAAATACCTATACCTATTTTTTTCTGGTGTAATTTCTCACTTTTGTCTGGCTTCTTGGCAGCTTTTATTAGTTCTGAAGTTCTTCTAAAATTTTTGTTTAAAATTTGAACATCTGGGCCCTTCCTGGTGGCGCAGTGGGTTAATGCACCGCACTAAGAAGTTTAAGCCACTTCCGCATGAGTCTGATCCCCGCCTGCCCCGGAGGTGACCACATGGTGTGGCAGACCTCTCCTGACCCGCCCACTGCTCCCCTCAGCAGTGTACTTCGTTGATCTGCCTGTTCTGCTCCCCACTCTGTCTCTGGTGAATCCTCCTCTCACCTTCCGCATCTCTGGCCTGTACCCCAGTTCTATATGAATAAATAAATAAATCTTTAAAAAAATTTCAACATCTATGGAATTTTTCTTTTGCAGAAACCCTTCCTTTCTGGTGGGATGGTTGTTTCAGACTGTGTAGTTCACTTAGTTCACCCAAACCAGGCTGCATATTAGTGACTAAACCTGGGCTCCTCTCATGTCCAGATAATTTGTGTCTACCTCAGTTTCCTTGTCCCAGATAATGATCTTAGACTGGGATGCTTATAGTTGCCTACCTTGGGCAGTCATTCCATTTGAAGTAACCATATTGTGTGGGAAGAACTATGCCAGCCCGTTTGCCTGTGAAAATATATCCTTAGTCCCCAGCTTTATACAGGAAGCCACTTGTAGGGCATGTTTTTCTGTTCAACTGTCTGCCCCTACAGTCTGTATCTAATCCCAGCTTCCAGTAGGACCATATGGCTTTGGTCTATTGCTGTACTTTACACAAAATTTGCTCTTGTTTCTGAAGACACTTTTACAGTTTTATTTATTGTTAATTTTGCATTTTAATCTCACTCTCACTTGTTTGGAAATAACCTGGGGGCTTTCTTATGTGTTCTCTCTACCACATTGAATTGGAATGCAAACCAGTTACTCTTTCTTTCTATTGAAGGTAAAACAAGAACAGAATAAAGACATAACTTTGGGACACAGTAGTTGTTAACTTCTAGAATAAATGACCAAGGAAAAATTTAGTCTCTTCACAGAATATTTCTAGAAATAGAAAGGTACCACCCATTGGAGATAGAATTGGCACAGCTCTGCTTTGAGGCAGGGCAATGCATGTGACTCCTCTGTAATCCTTCCACCTCAGTGATTATTAGGCATGAGGAAACTCATGCCTTCAGGCCCACAGGAATGTCTGGTCAAAGGAAAGGGCTCAAATTTTCTGTCTTAATCCAATGGAAGGCACTGTAATGAAAATGTCATCACTTAAAAATAGAAATTTTAAAGCCAGTTGGTGAATAACTGTGTTCTATTTATCAGAAAGAGAAAACAAACAAGGGAACCATATTAACATGGTTTTGCTTGAAATACTTTCCTGTAGTAGTATCAGTATCAGGGATCACTCACCTGTGCTGCAGTGGAAGGGCTGGGAACATTCTGAAGGCCATGCTTACTACTCATCTTCCGTAGGAAGAGGCAAGGGGCCATCCCTTTCTCTCACTTGTTTGTCTGCTTCCCATGGCTCTTACATTTTTAACTCCCTGTTGCTAAAATTTCCAAGGTCCTCACCTGCATTTGAGGTTGATTTTCACGCACCCCCTGCTGAACCATAGAAATCAGAGTATGCAGACTGCTTTTCCAGAATTTCCAAAGAAAAGTCTGTATTGATTCTCATGAAGAGCAAATGAAAACTTTTCATCAGTACTTCCCCAAGTCTCCATGGCAGAGGAGGTGAAGTCCTGGTCACATACTACAGGACTCTACTGGATTCAAACTGTGCTACTTGGAAGCTAGAACATTCTTGATGGAAACATCAATACTGCACAGAATTCAGAAAGGTCATTAAATCCATCCCAATATCTAAGCAAGACTCTATTGTCTCTGATAATAGAAAATTTGTGGGAATAAAATTCTGTGTCTTTTGTTAGAGGGGAATAGAGTAATAAAGCTGGAAGAGGGAAAGAAAGAATATGACTTCTTTCCTCTTATTCTTCATGTATAATTTTGTTGCCAAAAGAAAACTTCATGGTGACTGGGAGCTTACTTCATTTTATTTTCTAAGTTTTTTTTTTCTTTTTAATAAAGTCAATTAAGAATTTGCTAATCAA